TAAAAAAATACGATTTCTTTGTTTAAACAGCGTCCTCCTTTACTATCTTTGACCGAGGTTCCACTACTATGCTTTTCTCTTGGCTGGTACAATAGACAGATTGTAGAGCGCATTTTCCGAAGGAAATCTGGCAACCATATTCTGAACCAAACCATAGTCTCCCTATGGATGAAAATTTTAAGTCTCATAAACTTCAATTTCCCAAAGCCTTAGGCATTTATATATGATTTCTTGACAGATATGACTGGTTTAATATTGCGCACTAGAGTAGATCAAGAGCAGCAGGTGCCTGCTTCGAATTTTTGTAAAACAGTCTTTCTGTTTATATTGTATGGAAATTGCATTCATCTAAAGATCCCCCAACACACACTCATATACACACATACATTTTTAAATGTTTCTTTTGAGAATGATGCTCATGCGTGATATGGGTCTAAATCGTAAGATAATCAAAAAAGTTAAATGCACTTACTATAGTATTGTATTTGTAATAAGAAAAGTTCAGACAGGACATATAATTACATATATTACTGATGCCCTCTACGTCCATCATGGACGTTTTTTAAGGGGAAGTGAAAGAGGTAACTGATAGCATATGCAGATAGTTTTACTACAACCTAAATGTTGGTTAAGGTGTTTAACATTTCAGCTTCAGTTATTTCACTAATAAAGAAAGCAACCAAATTCCGAAATCCTTATGCTTGGGCATTGGAATTGTAGATCAGGAACAATTCAAATGCAGATACTTCCTAAAACATACATATATCGTGACATATACAAAATTGTATATTTACCTTGATTGTTCAAGATTTGGACTAGAATATGTAGTTCAGTTCACCACAAAGCAGTCTCTTTCTGTATCGAATCGTCGATAAAAATACACTTTTGAAACACTCTTAAAGTACTTGCGTGCACAAAACTGAGAGGTCATCAAGACTGGTTTCCTTTCCCTAATTTGCGTGACCTTTGGCGTGGATGAGCCAGGAAACAAGGCAAATGAACGCTGGCCATATCAATACGATCAATAATATTTAAATTCCCAACTCACTATTCATCATGTAGTGTATATTACAGGGAAACGGACAAATCAACTATACGCCACTGCTTGAAAAAACACCTTTACAAAACTTTACTTGCAAAGTAAATCTCATTAAAGGTGCTCCAAAAAGCAAGGTCATCTTTGTATTAACTTTACAAAAAGTAAAGGTGAAAAGGTAACCTTTACTTACACGAAAAGGTAATTAAATCTAACCTTTCACCTTTAATGCTGCATTAAAGTTTATAAGTTTATATATATATATATATATATATATATATATATATATATATATATATATATATATATATATATATATATATATATATATATATATATAATGAAACTTTTTAAAATCCTTACTTGAATACTGGCTTTTGCTTAATACACTCGTACTTAAGATTTCAACAAATGGTTTTTGACTTTCAATAAATAGGTATCTGATGTGTCTATTGTGTTACCCCCACCCCATTTTGTTAAACTCGATCTTACTAAAAATACACAAATTTTCACGCGTTATATCAATTTCCAGTTGTATTTAGTATTAGAGATTGTCATCTACAAAATATAAAAATTTGTACTATTTTTGTATACTGTAGACGGAAAATCACAAATGTAAAAATGGTACCAGATATCAGAATATAGATATAATAAACTTTAAAATTCCCTATGACTTAACCTTTAAGTTATCTGATTTGCTGATATCTGATAGATGGAGAGCTCTTTTTTATTTGCTTTTAGTTTAGATATATTGAAACCTTTTCTGTTATAATTTCTGCTTTATAAATATCTACCAAAAACAGTTACAAACATTACAAGATTACATCTTTTACTAGAACAGGCAATAAAATGACAAAGAATGAAATAAAAAAGGTTAAAATACAATACAATATTATTCATCCTTTATGGTGCATGTACACGTGTCAAAACACCACAGTTTAAATGGAACTAAAAATGCCTTACTCAGTTATTACTCAAGATCACTGATGAGAAACTACACAACATAAATCAGGCAAAGTACTAGTATTTCCAATTTAAACTAATAAAGGCTATCTAATGAGTATTTATGTACAGGTTAATAATGTTGACATCTTGTAAGCATAATCGTGTAATTTACATATTCACAAAATAAAGAAACAAAATGCTTAAACATCTATTAGAATATAGGTTCAGAGGTAGTTTTGCAAGATGCATAAGTAAATGCATGTGTCCAGCTTCATGCAGTGAGCCTGTTTGAGCTTGACTTTATACTTTGGATTAAATGTGATATGTGCATTGTGTCTGTGGTAGATAATGTTTGCACTGTGTCCATCTTCACACGCCTTGGAAAATATGTAACTGGTTGTGGTAGATGCTTGAGTGCTTGCGTATGTGTCCAGCTTCACACATTTTCATGTATGTGCTCGACTTCACATGCCTTGGAAAATATGTAACTGGTGTTGTGGTACATGTTGTTATGTTTGCATATGTGTCCAGCTTCACACATTTTCATGTATGTGCTCGACTTCACACGCCTTGGAAAATATGTAATTGGTTGTGGTAGATGCTTGTGTCCAGCTTCACACATTTTCATGTACATGTATGTGCTCGACTTCACACGCCTTGGAAAATATGTAATTGGTTGTGGTAGATGCTTGTGTCCAGCTTCACACATTTTCATGTACATGTATGTGCTCGACTTCACATGCCCTGGAAAATATGTAACAGTGGTTGTGGTTAATGCTTGAGTGTATGCATTTGTGTCTTGCTTCACACAGAGAGAAAATTTTTGTGTGCTCTTTTCTACAAGATAATGATTATTTAAATATACTCCGAATACATCCTCTAAAGAAATGGATAATCATAATGAGTTACATACTAAGTTCCTCTGTGCACAATATACACAATTTTACTGAAATTAAACTTGTGCAAAAACTCTCTTGCTGAATAACTTTCATTATTATAAATGCTTGAATGTTCATCTATAAATTTTCAGATATTTTCTAGTCTGTGTGTATATGTTTGATCACAATGGCATCCATATTTGATTCCCCTCTCTGTCATCTTTTCTTGGTCACCAGTTAATTCAACAGTAGGATGGATACTCAGATTTCTTGGGTGTTGGACAAAAGGAGTGCTAATAATAAACATAATCTTCGAAATTATAGATAATAACATCCATTTCTTTTCCAGGTTTGCATAAATTAGTTATCTTTTGAAATTAAAGCACATCTGCAATATCCCTGAAAACTTGCCAAGATACTTAAAATGTTTGTAGCATGCTTTAACTACTTTAATTTTATTTTTGGAAGTTTAGAATAATAGAAAAGCAAGTTCATATATAAAAATGAAATGTAAAAGATCTTACTAATGAAGATTCATTTACACAATGTGATAACACATTGAAGTCAATTCCTCACCTGACTTGCTCGTTATTTATCTTCATAATAGAGTTGATTCTATGATGATCACTTTCAATCATTTAAAAAAACTTCTTCATCTCAAACTATCTGAAGGTCTTCCATCTTCCCAACTGCCACTCACCCAAAGTGTACCGAGACTTCTGACCTGTATAATATCCAAATTCAAGATTAAAATAAAAAAAATCTCTTCACAATATTGGTCTCTTTAAAAATGTGAGAAAATAATTTTAAATACTTTTCTAAAGATGGAATAATGTACATGTAGTGAGTACCTAACAATGTTTAAAAATATTTTGATCTCTGTACAGTGATAACATATGAAAAAGTCATGTCCCTTGTAATTGAAAAAAACTTCCATTCTTAAGGACATTACCCAACATAGAAATAATGTACATTTGTCTCTGGCACAACCAATCCACAAGAGACATTTCCATACTTAGCACCATGCATTAGCTCTCCACTCTTTGTTTCTACAAAAGATAAATTATGAAAAGGTAATTTTTTGACTGTTAAGTCTGATTAATTATTTTCCAGCCAGTGATGAATAGAATATTTGATTTCCTTAATAATCAGGGACATATTATTCATGTTTATCTCAAATGAACAAAGTTTGATCCCCCCCCCCCCATCGCCACTACAAAAGGAAATAAACTGACTCAGAAACTCTTAATTCAGTGAGGTAAAGGAAATAATGGCATCAGACAAGGAAAGATTATTAATCATTTTTTCAGTTGAGATGAGATTATATCTTTTAAACATTTTTGAGGTTAATATATTTTTACCCCCCCCCCCCTCCCCCGCATCAAACAAAAAATAGTCGCCCCTTTATTTAGCTGTCCTAAATCTATAAAAAAAAATTTAATGATTTTTTTCATTTTAATTTATTATATCTTGACACTATACACAGTGGTAGTAGATGCAGTAAATTATTAAGAGGTGACCCCTCCCCCCCCCCCCCCCCCCCCCAGATGTTACGTCTGAAATGTTAAACGACTGTTTCAATATCTTGAAAGACAGAAAACAGTTATACACAACAATTAAGCACATTTTCATTACCTTGCAGTCAGTGTCGAGTGACACACGTAAACAACATCCCGCAATTTCTTTGTTTATTCTTGGCGGAATTTTGTGGCCTTGTAGACTGGTTCCCATACATTGCAAGTGCCCTGAATAAGTCATACGCTTATTGGTTTTGTTTATTAGAGGTAATATCAGTAATATGCCCCGTTCATTTGACAGCCTTTACTTTAAAATTCTGAAATATGTATTATCATATTATACCGATGTTTTCTACCTCAGTATTATGTAATCCTCTTCATTCAAGTCTTCTCGAATACAAAACGAACGATTTACTTTTAACAGTAACCCAAATATGGCACTGTGTATTCGGTTGAATAGCCAATCATTTCAAATCAAGTTGAGCGGGTCTCATCGAATTTTCTGGTATTTTTGACGAAAATATGCAACCAGGGATCAGTTGATTTAATACCTTTTCATCGACCGGTAGATTTAAGGAGGTTATTGCTTGGAAAACTGCTCTAGCTCCCGGGCTGGCAATCGGCATGCACTGCAGTGCAGGTTTGTTTACGTTTTCCATCTGTTTTCAGCATACATTGTGGAACATTGAAACTGATGAAAGTCAGGAAAAACTACGCTAAATATGTTTTTTAGATAAGTAACTTGATAAATTGGGGATAATGTTCCATTTTTTTCTGTAAAGGATCATGGGTTAAACAAGACCAAGAAAAAACAATTCTAGGTCACAGTTTTAGAACATTAATGCTAGAAGAAAAAAAAATAGAAGCCATGGGGCAATGTTCTTAATAGAGGGCAAGTTAGGTTATATTTTATAGATATTATTTTGTATTCTAAACCATGTCCATTATTTCAGAAACAGGTACAGTGAAATCAATTATGCAGGTTCTTGAAGGAAAAAAATCATGGATGACAACAATGTATGATTTACCAGACCAAGGGATACCAATGTTTTTTGATGGTACTTGTACGTATTAGTTTTAAAAAAATCAATAAATGGTATCATTAAAATATTACTTAAACAATTATTTACATTATCAATTGCTTGACTTGTTCGGGAGTCAGTATAATTATACATTTCTGTTTTCAAAAAATGTGTTACTACTTTTTCCAGGCTCCATCTACTCAGCTTACTGTGAGAGAGTTAACACCTTATTGACAGATCTTTCAAGAAGAAGAAACGCTTGAGAAGGGTTCAATAGTTTAATTTTATAGATGGCAAGTATTGCTTAGACCTAAAGTATTCTTTAATTGTGAAGAAAACAAACATAAGGGTGTTTGGCAATTCATAACTATTAACTGTGATTGCATTGTGTATTTTTAAAATCATTCTTTGGTATGCTTCAAACTCCAAAGTATTTATGAAAACATTGACTATATTTATCCAGAGGTATGAAATGTTTATCAAAGTATGAATTCCATTTTAGCATGTTATCTTCAAAATGAGGGACCTGCCAACTTTTAGAATTCCAAGATCAGGAAATAATTCATGAGCAGCAACATGCTACTGGGAGAAAGGTACATATATCCTAAACCATAACTAGAGTATCATACTATAGCTTGATAAGCAGCAACTATTGGTCCTTTTGTTACCTGATTACTAAGAAGGAAAATGGAGTTAATTATATGTGTTCAGTAATTATCCATAGATACTGATGCCAGTACTTTTTCACAAATTATCTTGCAAGTAAGACAAACATTTTCCAATTCTGCAAAAGTATCTTAGCTACAGAAGGTCACGAGAAATCTTATATTACTCCTACATTAGTATATTTTGTAAATAATCCTTTCAAAAGAAAAATTAGGTAATGATAAACAAAGAAATTACAGAGTTATTAAATTTTAATCTTAGGGGTAAGATAAGGGCTAGTGGCCCAGTCCATTTATATTATAAAATAAGTTAATAACAACATGTTCATCTGTTTGTATCTGTCTTATTTAATAAGATTAGCATCATTTTTTTGGTAAAAATAAAGACTGACATTAATGGTTCAAAATATTTTCTTTTTGAGGTTAAAGGTCATGTATGAAATTTTTATTTATTAATATGGTTGCATCTTGTTTCAATTTTCATTAGTCATGATACTGTGAATACTGATATCACAGTTTATTTGAATTTATAACACAGATGCCTATGAAAATATTCATATTCATGTCACTGAAAATATATATATATTTTTTTTTTCTTTGAAGGAAAACGATAGAAGACTGCCTGCATGAGAATAAAAGTTTTGGACTCTGAAAAGGAAGATGTGACAAAATATATATTTGGACAGTTGTTGATTTCCACAGAAATGCATGTTCAGTAACAAGAAAGCAGAGCACAGTTTCATGTCAATTCAAATCTTTAAATTCAAGGATGAACAATTGGTTCTTTATACAAAACAAAATGACATGTTTGAAAAGGATTTTGGTGAAGTGTACTCTGTCCTGGATACTTATTTATGTGTATTGGATTTGCAGGATAGACTATGAACAACAGATACTGTCAAGAAATTTGATGTTTTTGATTATATGTTTGTATAAAAATGTTTGGTATAGTAATAAAGAAAGTTTAAGTCAATCTGTTGTTACTTTGTATATTAAGTATGATGTCCAGACTTCTTTTGCAGTTTCAATTTGGAAGGAAAAGCTTATTTATTATATGCACAAGCTTTATTCAGAAGAATGGAAAAAGTAATTATTAACTTTTGTGGCTATTAAAGATGGTATTTAATTAAATTTAAGATTTGTAATTATCAGCTTTAATGAACCCCAAATACTGTGTTTAATGTTTGTAAATATTAACTTTACTTTTTTGTAAAGTCAAGAAAAAGTGGGACATTACATCATATTTAAGTGCATGTAAAGTTAATGTAAAGGTTACCTTTTCCAACTTTGACTTTTTTAAGAAAAGCCAATTAAAGGCATTGTAAATAATAAATTTACATTATCTTTACTTGTTTTGTAAAGCCAAATTTTCATGCAGTGCGCATTGCTTTCAAGGAAAATGAGTGAATTTATCAATGGGTGGTTGCAAGAGAGAAATTGAAGTGATCTATTTATCATTACTTTACTGTTTACTCTTCCGCTGCGTGAATTCCAGATGTTAATCAACCCTCTTGCTGGAAAGCATTGCGGCCATGTCATAAACCTGACCTAAGTTAAGATAATTTCTCCACTTTCTCAGCATCCATATCTTGATCTATAAAAAGCACAGGTTGCCCTCCTTAAAACTTGGTGACATTTTACATATACTCTACTGCAATTGCATCATCTATTCATGTGGCAGTTATTATTACTTTACAAAATATGTGGTTTCAAAGATGTGAAAAAATTATGAACAGTTATTCTTTTTTCAGTTGATCTTTCTACACTGACACGACCTTAGGTTGAAAAAGAGAAAAATAAACTATAAAATAGCTAATGAAAAGCAATATTGATAGAACGTATTCTTGACTGTAAAACTCGAATATATTGTACATCATTTTAAAAATTAAAGAAAAAAATATCCACCTTCTAATTATTTTCTATATGCCGGTGTCTACCTTTCCTAGCTGTATTCTTTGCGGAGTATCAGATGTCAAGTGCAAAAATTAATGAAAGAATGATATACAAAAAAATTAAACATCAGATTTTTTCATGTACCATAATTTTAGTGACGAAATCTATCTACGTCTGTTTATATTTTTATCTTTACATGTCTTTTTCCGAAATTATAACACATTATATTTTGTATACATGTACATGCGTATATGTACAGATTAAGAGAAATGTACATGTATTAAAAAAAAAACCTTAGGTATACATGGTAAAGGCCGTGTACCATTATTTTAAACAAGCTCATATCGGCAATCGTACATTTGATAAGTAGAAAAAAAGAAAAAGGAATTCCCGAGTGGTTTTCGAGTATTAATCTCATCTAACTTCTTATTATAACATTTTTTGTGATTAATTTTAATAATTGAATATTCAAACACTGCACATATAGGCAGAATTATTTATGAAAATTTTCAAAGAACAGAATTGTTACTTAGCAGACATTTTCGACAATCGATTATGCCGAAAAGGTCCGAGATGATTGCGATTGTCATAGTCAAGGTCATTCTATTTTAGTTCAAAAACGTATCGTTTACAATGACTTTCTCTATTCCACGTTATACCAAACAACCCGCGCAGCCAAGTATAGATGGCTATCAGATTTCAACCCATTAGTTAACAATTAGTAGCAATGTGTGCTCAGCATGTATGCTTTAGTACTCAAAGGCAATGATATCGCATCGCCCATCCTGCAGAAGTCGCCATGCAATTCAGTCAATTAATTTAGAAGAAAAAAATTCTTTTACACTTTATTGCTTAGCATGGTATTACAAAATATAAAGAAATACACAAAGAATGCACAGGTTTTTTTTAATGTTAAGAATGATGTACTCATAAATCATTTTTTTTTTAATTCGGAATAAAGTTCTTTCAATATTGCTTTTTAATATCTATTTTTTTAATTTATTTTTTTCTTTTTTAACTTAAAGGAGTAGCAGTATAGATAGATGAACTTTCTTAGGAAAGGAGTAACTGTTCATGATTTTTGTTACATTTTGGGAAAAAAAAATTTCAACAGTGCAATAATTACTGCCACGTGAATGAATTATGCATATGCGATTGCAGTAGAGTACATGTAAAACAAGTAACTTAGTATAATGGAATGAAATTCAATGACCTTAAAAAATCACCATATTCAAAGAGGGCAGCTTGTGCATCCCAAGAAATCCCTCCGATTTAGCTGTGAGCTGAACTCAATACAAGTGCAATTAACGCTAATCACTGATATTCCCCTAAGAGTGATTTGAGACAATTGATGGCAGAATCTTGGAGAGGTGGATCTAAGGAAAAAAAAATTACTTTTACAAATATATTCTTCAGATGTCATTGATAATTTTAGCATTCATTTCCTTTGATATGATTAATTATTTTGCTACCACGCATTCTTCTACATTTTTGCATGTGGAATTTATTTCAATTTTATTTAAAATTAATTAAAATTTTCTTGGAATTTAGCGATTTTTTTTATTATAGCCTTTAAATATTTCTGAATCTAAGGAGAATTCATGATGTGCAAATCCCTCTAGGACACAGCGAGTTACATGTACCCAAAACGATGCATATTTCACTTACCCCTTGAGAAGAAGGAAAACACGACCTATTTACACCCTTTCTACTAAGCATTCAAAGGCAACATTTCTCAATATTTTAAATTTTAATTCTTTTCACCACACACTCTCCCTCCGTTCTATGCCCTAGATTCAGCCCAATCCACCCGTATACATCATTAGACATATTTAAGGGGGGAAAACTGTGTTTTTAATTGGCACTACTTCCGTGGTCAATGAAATGGGGTAAAATTAGTAACCTGTGACATATTTATACCTTCTACCATCAAATTAAGGGTTACAGATTCGAACATTTATTTTAATTTCCTTCTTGCTTTACTTTGTTTATTGTTAACTCGTTTATTTCCTATAATTATATGCTTCATTTTTAATTCATTATTATTATTGAGCCCGTAGGATATTGAAATCATGCCCCCCCCCCCCAAAAAAAAAAAAAAAAATAGGGCCTCAAATTGATCTCTGAAAATTAAGTTTTAAAGCTTTAATTTTACAATCTGTAAAAGTTTTTGATCCTTCCCTCAACACTGCTGACATCAGTTGTCTCGCAACACTCGCATTGGTAATATAAAGATTAGCGTTAATTGTACTTTGATTAAATTCAGTCTAAAGCTACACCTGAGAAAATCCACAGAATTTCTTCCAATGCTCTTAGGTTTGATAGATAACAGATTTAGCTGCTGAGAAAATTTAGAAATAACACCCTAACTAAGGTCAGATTTATGACACGGCCGCATGCTATCCAATACAACGGGTTGAATAAACAGGACTTCACGCAGCGAGAAAGTAAACAGTAAAATGTTGAGGGACAGATCACCTCAATTCAATATGTTCAATAATTTTCTTGAAAGCAATGTGTTTATTTTAATTTTTGTGTAAAAACAGTTGATTTTGTTCGTTTCCCTATAATATACCCTACATTCATACTTGGTGGATTGTGCGTTGGGAATTTAAATATTATTGGCCGTATTGATATGCGCGGCGTCCGTTTTCCTTGTTCCTTGCCTCATCCACGCCAAGGTCACAGAGAACACTAAGAAATTTAGAGAAAGGAAACCAGGCTAGATGACCTCTCAGTTTCCTGAACACAAGTATTTTAGGAGTGTTTCAAAAGTGTATTTTTATGACGATTTGATACAAAAGTGACTGTTTTGTGCTGAATGGAACAATTACAAATTCAAGACCAAATCTTGAACAATAAAGGTAAATAAACAATTATATATATGTATCTCTCTCTCTCT